GGTTGCTTTCAAATATTCGTTTTTATTTATCAATCAAGAATTCAAATTTAAGTTTGATTTTGATTTTGATTATTCCATCCACAAGGTTGTGAAGGTCAATGTTGAATTTCCATTCACGAAAGTTACATAGTGTTGTATTGTTGACTTTTCTCAAAGTTTATTGGATAAAACTGAGTGTATTAAAACATCCAACTGTCTTAATAGAGTACTTAATGAGATTTCTATATTTATAACTTTTACATCGTATCGCAGTTAGATGACTAACAAGTTCTATTCTTAATTGTTAAGACAAAGTTCCAAGAAATAAAACGTTTTTATTACTCGTTTTTTTGGGATACTACGTGAAAAGTGTTTTATGTAACCTTTTTTAGAAAATGTCATATAAAACAAAATATTCTTACAAAAAGATTAATAAGACGGTTTATTCACGAGTCTTATTAGATTTGCCAAACTTGTCGCAACATACCTACCCTTTTATTGTTCTAACAGACGCATTTATCGTATTATATTATGACACATGGACATCCTAATATACCCATTTATCGTATTATATTATGACACATGGACATCCTAATATACCCATTTATCGGAGTGAGATAGCCACCGACTTCTCTACGATCAGACAAACCTCCAAAATCCTAGTCTTACGAAGAGGTTGAATTGCTCTATACGATAGTAGGCGAATTAGTGCGATTTGGCTCGCTTCAATTCATTTGTAATACATGTTTAAAACAAGTTGAAAGACACGTCAATCGAGACTGACTTTAAGTAGAAAACGATAAATAAAATGAAGTTGCAAAATTGAACATGATTTAAAGGAAAACTCTGACTCGATCAATTTGTAACATTTGTACGTGGAAATAAATTTTAGGTCATTTTTTGTGTCATGGAATTCTTATTTAATGTTTTTGGTTCAAATGCATGCATCGAACTTGTAATACTATTTATTTTATAATATTTAATTATATATTTACTTGTCACTATTAGAGAACGTTTGATTAAATAAATGCATGTTCATTGTTTGGCGTATAATTTATTCAGAACATGCTTCTAGAAATTACGTCTCATATTAATTTTTTAATGTTATTAGAAGAGTATTTGCATAATATATTTATGCAGCAAGATATATCTCAATTTTAATGTTTTGTTTTATTCTTTCTTCGTAGATGTTATAACACGATTTTATATAGTTTTGAGAAGAAATAATGTTTTTATTTTGAATAACATATAATTTTGAAGATATCATAAAATTTCAAAAATAAATATATTAATATTAATATCAAATTAACTATTTAAAAGTTTTTTTTTATGTAATTTCTTTAATTCAATTTTTTTATTATAGGTTAATTTATATTTAATAACGAAATAATTTATTCTTGATTTAATAATATTATTTTTTATAACGATAATAATTAAATATTATGTTAGAACTCRATAATTATCTTAATTATATTTTAGATTTTTTATATTTAAAATGAAATGTTTATTTTGTATTTGACTATGTTTATCTGCAGTTAGTTACATTAATCTTTAATAAGTTGTACTTTCGTAGTAATTTTGATTTTTAAGTAATATACATCATTAAACAATACTTCATATGTATATAATGATTTTTAAGAGTTTTTGTCAAATACTTTAAGATAGAAAAGAAAAAAAATGTAACATATTAATAATAGATTCGTTCTAATTTCTTTTTTAATTTAAATTATGTTATACATGTATCAAAACTATAAATCGATTGAACGTGAGAAAATATAATTCTTCTAACATTTTTTTAAGTTGAAACCCTAATCATCTAAAAGAATCAAAAAATATTGTAACTAGGCTAAAACATATATATTATTAACCGTTAAAAGATATATATTTGAGTAAGGAGAGCTTCATTTGATAAGTAAATAAATGATCTTAGCTTTTCATAAGGTCAAGATTTAGGACTTTGACTGGTCAAACAAAAAATAGAGGAGTATTTTTGTAATTTTTATAAATAGATGACAAACAAATGAATATGTAAACCCATAGTTCATACATGAATCAAACGAATTCATATATAAATTACACAAATTCACATGTACACTTATTTTACCATCTACTTTTCAAATCAACCCGTGACTGTTAGATAAAAGCCACAAAATTGAAGCCCAAAAGCTTTTGAAACTTATTCCACATCGAAGGCATAATTCTGATTATTATAATAATTAAAATTATTAAAAAATTGGTGAGCATGAGGAATGTTGGATAATTGGTCCTACAAAATCCGTGGTGGAAATAGTCGAGATTTTACCAAATTTAAAAAATAAAAATAAAAATAAAAATAAAAAAGTCAAATAATAAAAAAAGTCAAACATAAAGACATATGGTGAAGCTACCTAAAACACTCAACCTGTATTTAATGGTCCTTTTTATTATTGTACAACCACCCCACCTCACCATATTTATTCATCCATTTAATTTTATACCATTTTTACTCAATTTATTAAATTCATTTAATATTTTCTTTATTATTTATTTAAAATACGTTAAATACAAAGAATACGTAGGTATTTATTGATTTATAAATTTCATTTTTTAAAAAGTCAAATTTATTTAATTTGGATTGTAGTTGGAGAATTATGTGGAAGTGGAAAATTTTGAAACAATGTTCTTGGAACAACATAAGTCTTGATTAATTTTAAATAAAAAAGGAAAAACACGTGTCAGTTGACTAATGGGTTTTTATGGTTATTATGTCACGCATTTGTTACGCTAATCAAAGTAAATGTAATTATTTATGGTGTAGTTAATGATATTTATTTATCTCATTTTAATACCCAAATTAAATATGACTTTTCAATTTTTGTCTTCACGCGCCTCTCCAACATAATTACAACTAACACCCTTGATGAATAGCAAAATTGCAATTTTTCTTTCTAGTTTTTTTTAACCTTTAGGGTGTAAAGGATACGGGAGAGCTTGCGAGCTACTCGAGATCGACTCGGTCAACATTCAACTCGAACGGGTTCGGCTTAGACTCGAGCTTGACTCGACATGTTAACGAGTCGAGTCGAACTACTTTAAAAGAAAACCCTAAAGTTTTATAAAAATTAAGAAAACACCTTTAAGTTTTAATTTGTAAAAGAAAACCCTAAAATTTCATAAATTTCAATCAGTGAGCTTGGTTCGAGCTTGATTCGAGTTCGAGTTTAAAAAATTGCAATCAAATTCAAGTCGAGTTTGGTTTTAAACTACTCGCGAGTTTCAAGTTCGAGTTCGAGCTTGAGAAATGGCTTTCAAGTTCGAGTTCGAGCTTGAGAAATGGCTATCAAGTTCGAATTGAATATATCGATACTTGAGCGCAACTTGCATCATTTACACCCTTAGGCCAGTTTGTATGCATCTTAACTAATATTATGAGACTTTGAAGGTAGCAACCAGAAAAATCCTTAGTGCATCTAATAAAGCTCAAACTAATGACTTATAAAGAGGAGTCTTAACCACAAGGGTGGTGTCTGATTGGTTTGAGCTTGGCTCCAAAGGTCAAAAGTACCAGGAGGTCCCAGGTTCAAATCCAATGAGGAATAAAAATCCCCTTGTGGCCACGAAGGTTCAAATGCGGTTACTCCGGGCTATCTGCAAAGCAAGTGGTCGTCGTGGGATTAGTCAGCTCGCATAGCAGGTTGGATATCCAGGTTAATCAAAAAAAAAAAAAAAAAGGAGTCCCAAAGAGTTAACATTTATTTACTAGTTGAGTCGACCCTCAACATTGTTTTGAGCAACTATGTTAGTTTATTTAAGTATGCTATTCTAGTAATGGACAAATAATAAGTGTAAGAAGGAGAAAATCTTTAAGTAGAGAGAGTACAAAAGAAATCTGTATACAAATTTTTATCTGGTTCAAGAGTTGGAACAATCAAAAGCTTGAAGTATCACAAGAAATTAGTGGTGGTGAATCTGGCTGGAAATTTTAATACTGGTTGGCTAAGAGATAGAAAACTATTCTATTTTTCATCATACGTGTAAGTCAAGATCCTAGACTTTTTGGTAATCATGCATTGATCAAGGTCACAAAGTCGTTTTGTTTGTTACTGGTTTGCTTCATGAATTCATTATTTTGCAACTTCTTTGATCTGATGTCCCATATCACATGGGAGTCTTGTGATTAGGATTCACCCAAAAAGCACAAGATTCGACTTGACCTTCTTTCCGATGGTCCTATAATTTTATCTACTTAAGACAAGTAAGTGATGGATCTTCCATAGTTTTCAAACCGAAACTATATCCCGGAATTTAAAAGTGCTTCTTCGTACAAAGGATCTTTGGCTCGAATCCCCACCGAGGTATGCTACACTAATACAAACATTAAGATCAACAAAGAATAAGAAAAAGACAACTCCAAGAAATATTAACATAAACAAAAACGCAATTCGAATGCCATCAGGTCATAGTCAAGGCATCAAAGTGATATTTTCTGAGAAATAAAAAGAAAGATTCCATCGTCACTGTCAAGTGATGACTTTCACACGATGTCTATTGAACCAAGCCGAAAATGTGTGGTTTTAGGTGTTTGGACTTTTTGTTTCGGGTTTTAGTCAATGTACCGGAATGGTTGTTGTATGTTGACTTCTTTGTTTCGGTTTGGATGTTTATATATCTTGAATAGTTCAAACTGTTTCAACATAAAGTACGTGTTTTTGGTGTTGATAATTATTCGAAAACAAATAGGTGAGAGTGAGTTACACCCTCCAAGATTGCGAGTGGGATTAGAAACCATGGTTAAAAGGTTAACCTACTTTGAGTTTACTCAAACTCAGACCCATACACATCTCCTTCTGTTAGTCAACGCTCGATCGTAGACACACACAGAGAGTAGTGAATGAAAAGTCGAGCAGACAGAATTTAATTTTGTTTTATGATTTCAAAATCTTCCACCCTTAAAAGTCAACGCCTTCTCTATCATCCATCCACCATCTCCACAACCCTCTTATATCTTTAACCAAGAATCTCTCTTCTCTACCTTTTTGACTATCAGAGGAATAAAAACGAGAGATTTCTGTGATGAATTAGTTGTCATTTTTGTTGATTAAGAAGCTAAATTTGCGCCGTGTTTTCTCGCCGGAAAATACAGTCATGGGAAACGGGGTAGGGAAGCTGACGGTTTGTTTCACCGGAAGTGATGTTGTCCACCGCCGGAAAGACATGGCTGTCGTCATTTCTGATCCGTTAGATGATCTGGGTCACTCTTTTTGCTATGTTAGACCAGACCCATCTCGTGTATCTTCCTCCAAGGTGCACTGCTCTGAGGAAACGACGACGTTCCGGTCAATCTCCGGCGCTTCCGTCTCCGCCAATACCTCCACTCCACTTTCGACATCTCTGATCGATCTATACTCTTATAACTCCATTGATAAAGCTTCTGCTTTCGAGAGCTCCACTTCATTTGCGTCGATTCCTCTCCAGCCTTTGCCCCGAAACTCTATCAATTCGGGTCCTCTGCCGTTGGGTCCGTTTCCTTATTCGGGTCCTATCGAAAGAGGTTTTCTTTCTGGTCCGATTGAGCGTGGGTTTCAATCGGGTCCTCTTTACTCGGGTCCTCTCGATAAGGGTACTCATGATCAGTTCCAAAGAAGCTATTCACAGGGGGGTTTTGCCTTTAAACGTAGATCAAGAAAAAGGTCCTTGATTCGGGTCATCCAAAGAGCGATTTCAAGAACGTTTGTAACCCGTGGGCAAAACTCGATTGTCGCCCCAATTAATAAAAACGTGGGTTCTCTGAAGGTTCCAGATTGGATCGTCGGGTCTTCGGAGAAAAACAATGAATTGACGATTAGCAGTGTTAATTTGAGCAGTGAAGGCAGTTTTCTTGACGATGATGACTGTTTAAATCAAAGTCAGAATCTTCAATGGGCGCAAGGGAAAGCTGGGGAAGATCGAGTACACGTCGTCGTTTCAGAGGAACATGGGTGGGTTTTTGTTGGTATTTATGATGGGTTTAATGGTCCTGATGCACCTGATTATCTGTTATCGAATTTGTACCCAGCTGTTCATAAGGAACTCAAAGGTTTGTTATGGGATGATGAGCTCGATTCAACGAATTCAAATTCTTCAGGGCAACCCTTAGATTCTATTGAATCTCATGTCGATGATCGATCTCAACAACACGAGCATCGGAGATGTGTTGATCAGCAGGAAAGTTATCCCAGTGCAACTGACGATTTTGAGACGAATCTACAGAAAAAGAGAAGCAAGAACTCAAGAGTTAGAAGCCGAGGGGCTTCCAAGAAATGGGAGGATAATCACAGGAGATGGAAGTGTGAATTCGATCGAGAGAGGCTGGAATTGGATCGGAGGTTAAAGCAACAGTTGAATTCAAATGGGTCAAATTCAATCAATCATTCTGATGTTTTGAAAGCTCTATCTCAAGGGTTGAAGAAAACAGAAGAGGCCTATTTGGATATTGCAGACCAAATGCTTGTTGAAAATCCTGAACTAGCTTTAATGGGTTCATGCGTTCTTGTTATGTTAATGAAAGAAGAAGATGTTTATGTGATGAATGTAGGTGACAGCAGGGCGGTTTTAGCTCAAAAACCCGAACCCGATCTATGGAGACAAGATCTCGAGAGAATTAATGAAGAAACATTGTACGATCTTGAGGTTTCTGATGCTGATATTGCCAGTACAATCCCGACCCTAACAGCCTGTCAGCTTACAATTGATCATAGTACCTCCATTGATGAGGTAAAAAAGAACAACTTAGTTTCAATTTCTTGTTCTTATAACCTTAAAAATCATCGTTTTATTCACACTTATGTTTGATAATCTGCAGGAAGTTCAAAGAATAAAGAACGAACACCCTGATGATTCTTGCGCAGTGATGAATGATCGTGTTAAAGGGTCACTTAAAGTCACTCGAGCCTTCGGTGCTGGTTTTCTCAAACAGGTAATTGACCGTTCACCACTATAAATCTAGTTTGCAAATCTTGATACGATTCTCTATGGGTGCCCGATAAAAGTGGATTCCCAAAAACGATTCTTTTTTGGATCAAGTAACCAAATTCGGAGAGTGGGAGATTTGGACATTCCTTCAAGATTGAATCTTGCGTAACTTTTTAGATTTCAAATTGTCTTTGGATCGAAGAAATGCAAGTTAGCATTCTATTTTGGGAAGCATATATCTTGAAACATGTTGGTTGTCTATATCATATTGACTTTTAAGGGCACATAAAGATCGCGATTTTTGTTCTTAAATATCATCAAAAAAGAGTCGAATTTATGACACGTGTTTTTTGACTTGCTGCAGCCTAAATGGAACGATGCCCTTTTAGAGATGTTTAGGATCGACTATGTGGGCAGTTCTCCTTACATAAACTGCATCCCGAACCTTTACCATCACAAATTAGGACCGAGGGACAGATTCTTGATATTGTCTTCAGACGGGCTTTATCAGTATTTCACAAACGAAGAGGCGGTTTCTGAAGTCGAGCTTTTCATACAATGGTCGCCAGAAGGCGATCCTGCCCAACATCTAATCGAAGAAGTTCTGTTTCGTGCAGCCAAGAAAGCTGGTAACAATCTCAATCATTTTAGGATTCTTGTTTTTGGAACCGTGGGTGTTAGGACCAGCTTGCTTGCAACTCGATTAATCCCATGGGCCTCGTAAAGTTGATTCGAAGTTTTTAAAAGATGGTAATGATTTGAAATTTGTTTTTGTTCGTAGGTATGGATTTTCATGAGTTGCTTGAAATACCACAAGGGGATCGAAGGCGTTACCATGATGACGTTTCGATCATAGTCATTTCACTTGAAGGAAGGATATGGAGATCGTGCATGTGAGCGACTGAGGCACCGAAAAACATAACGACCATTTACGCGAGAAGAAAACCGAATGGGCAATCGATTTTTTGATTTTTTTTCTTCTCTTTTTTGCTTTTTGGTGTTTTTATCCTAATCACCTTGTTTAACATGACAATGAAGCTCAAGAACTAAAAAGAGACTTGGTTGTGGAATGTAAGTTGGTAATTAGGGTTTGTAAAGGTGTGAGAACTTTACTCCATGTTTATTAATATAAATTTGTCATATAAAATTCTAATAAATGACAACAAGTTTTTGTTCGTTGCAAGAATGGTAGATCTCGGGTTTGGTTGGTAAATGGTCGGCGACTTTGCCTAAAACAAGAAAGGTCTTGAGTTTGATCGCCTCTTCCCTTTCGGAGTAGCCTCAACCGTTGAGTGAGCCAAAAAATGTTCCTTCACATTCGTATCTTTGGAGGCGAGTTCTGTATGAAATCAGTTGGAGTTGCCGGTAAATCACTTTTTGCCCAGATAAAAGTATTGATTTTCATAGAATTAATTTTGTATAAATTCATGCAATAAAACAAAAAATCCAAAGTCAAGATTGAATCACATTGATTACTACAATTAGGTCAAAAGATTTATTTGAAAGGGAAGAAGCCTTAAAGGCATAGGTGATTTATAGACACGTGTTAATTAGCTTCACATCTAATTGTTGGGATGTGATATGTTGATAGCTTTTATTTCTTTAATTTTTTATTTTTTTAATTAATAGATGATAATAATTATCGGTATATAGTAGTTATAATTTTTATTTATATTACATATCAATCAAATTTAAAATCAATAAATTGGAAAAATAACATATCATTTATTTTGTAATTTTATAAATTTTAACCATATGTATATAGTCGTATGGTTTGTCCATATAAAAATTAAATAAAATTTTTGAAAGTTCATATGTTAATTCTTAGTTTTTATTTTATCTATATTTTCATAGAATATATCATTAATCCTTTTATAACTTTCAAAATTCAGAAAATAATTCATCATTTTTTTCCGACTTTAAAACTTAAAAGATAACTAATCAATCCTTATTTAAGTTTTTAAATATTTAAATAATAATTTCATTAGTTTTTTTACAATCTCTAAAAATTTAAATAATAAGTCGTTGTTTTTTTATTAAAACTT